AAGGAAGGAAGGAAGGAAGGAAGGAAGGAAGGAAGGAAGGAAGGAAAGTGTAACTCTGCTCTGCCTGAACTTCATGGCCAAGCTCTCCAGAACAAAGCTGGTCCTTCAGATGTGTTCTGTTTCCGCACACTAAGCAAGGATACCATTTTTTCTGTGCCTTACTGAATTATAGCAAATGAGACAAACTTGAGGGAGCAGGTAATTGAAGATGTATTGCTGAGTATGACAATCTGCCTCATAGCCAAAGGCTGTCTCTGGGGTTTCCTGTTGGCAGTAAGAATGCAGTTTGGGGACTAGAGAGATGGCTCAGTGGTTAAAAGCAATGGCTGCTCTTGCAGAGGACCAGAGTTTGGTTCCCAGCACCCACATGGCAGTTAACATTCATCCTTAACTCCAGTTCCAGGGGATCTCATGCCCTCTTCTGGCCTCTAAGGTCACCAGACATTCACACAGCACACTTACCTACATGCGAGCAAAACACTCATACACATAAAATAAAAATAAATTTAAAAAATTTTAAAGTAACGAGTTTCATGTACCAAAATCAAGACATCATCCCACTGAAAGAGGGTGGAACAACAGGACAGGCTGAGATGGGAGGAGGGGGAACTGCTCAGAGGCAGTCACAGAGACATCTGAAGGATGATGTTTGAGCCCAGACACAGGTGATGATACTGGGTGGTCAGGGTGGCAAGCATCTTGCTGTAGGTGAAACTGTGCTTCCATTTTCAGGGGACAGAAATGAGCCCACTGGGGCCAGGAAACGTATGGTACGACTGTACAGAGGAGGCAGGTGAGGGCTGGCTAGGTGACTTAGAAAAGGCTTAAACCTGAAACAGCTCCTGGCCTGCATGGGGCTGCCGGTTAACTGCGATGGCACCTCAGGAGAGCGGGTCACTGGGAGGGCTTGTGTTAAGGTCTTAACCACTGTGTGTGGTGTTACCGGCCTGACAGCTGGAGAAGGAAGTGGAGCGGCTTGGAAACCTGGACGATGACTGGAGCCGCGTGAGTGTCCAGCCATCAGGGGGCACTGTTGGAATTGAAACTACAGACAAGCTCTGCTCCCACCTGGGAAATCTCTCCACAGCAGCAGGAAAGGCTCTGATTACCAAGGAAACGTTGACAGCAGATGATGCAGGAGGCTGGCTGCTAAGGACAGAGAGAAGTCCATCACCTACATGTCCAGAGGCAAAACGAGCATTCCCATCCTGCTGGAGCGAGCTCTATGCCTTGGAACCAGGTACCCTGAAGTCCAATGCTGCTTCTTCCAGAGTCATGGAGGGGCAGCCCGTGTCCCTTCCATCTGTGTGTCCAGAGATGGTCCAGGACCCTGGTGGACATTTCTGTTTTCTACAGATGGCCAGGCCTGCCTAGTCCACGACAGATTCTGCATACATGGAGGACAAACTACCTGTGATGACAGACAAGGCATGGTCAGTCACCCCCCGGCCCTCGACAGGCAAGCAGATGTGAACTCTTCCCTGCTTTCAACAAGGAGGGTTAAACTACTAATTTTTAACTAGTAGTTGTCCTGACAGTGTCCACTAGGAGTTGACATTGCTGTCTGGTGCTAGGGAAGGGTAACAGTGGGAAGCTGAGTGTGGGTGAAAGTGGGGGTGTTGGTTAGCAAAGGACACAGTGGAAGGGGGATTACACAAGGAATAGGGTCAGGTCACTCTTTAAAGAACATTTTATTTATGTATTTATTTGGGAGGACATGCATGTGCCATGGCACACATGTGGAGGTCAGAGGACAACTTAAGGGACTCAGTTCTCACTTTCTACCATGTATAATGTAGGGCCTGAAGTCAGGTTATCAAGTTTGGCTGCAAGTGCCTTTGCTCACTGAGCCATCTTGCTGGTACATCTTCGCTTTTTTGTGCATTGAGCCTAGCAGTTAATTCTGCTCGCTTGAGGACATGTCTGGGGACAGACAGGCCAACCTTTCATGAGTAAGAGAAGCCCAGGTCAGTCGTGCTGCTCTGAACTCTTCCCTCTACTTTGTGTGTAAAGGGATGCACATGTGTGAACATGCATGTGGAGGCCAGCTATCAACCTCAGGTGTCATTCCTCAGGCACTGTCCACATTTTTTTTATTTTCTTGAGACAGGCTCTCTTGCTAGCCTAGATTAGATTGGCTGACTAGCAAACCCCAGGGATCTACCTGTCTCCACTTCCCCAGAACTGGGATTATAAGCCTGTACCACCATGCTTGGCTTCTCAAATTTTTAAAATTTATTTATTTTATGTGTTTGAGTATTTTGCCTGCATGTACGTAAATGCTCCCAGGCCATGCAATGCCCGCAGAGGCCAGAAAAAGCTATTGGATCCCTGGAACTGGAGTTGGATGGTTGTTAGCTGCCAAATGGGTGCTGGGAACTGAACCCAGGTCTTCTGCAAGAGCAGTAAAGTCTTTTAACGGCTGAGCCGTCTCTTGAGCCCCAGGCCTGGCTTTTTTATATGGATTCTGGGGACCAAACTCAGGTTCTCATGTTTATAAGGCAAACACTTTACAGATTGAGCCAGCTCACCAGCCCCATTTTGTCTGTTTTAAGCACTGTATGTTAACCAGATGGTGTCTACTTCCACCTTAGCCATCAGTGCAGCACCTCTGGCCTGGTCCTCAGTCCACCCAGCTGAGCCATGCCCTCCCATGTAAAGGCCGCTGTCACTTTGAATGAGCACAGCATCTTGTGCTATATGTTGTAGCTCCTTCTCACACCAATGTCCAGCCAGTGTGGGCTGTCCAGCTCTGCACAGTGGCTTGTGGCCTACCCTAGCAGTGGCTGAGGAGTCCTAGAAACCATAGCCTTTTCTGGCACTCCCCCCTCCCCAGGGGTGGCCTTGGCTCCACCCTCTTGTTTTGTTTCATTGACACAGAGTCCTACTTTGTAGCCCAGACTGGCCTTGAACTTGAAGTAATCCTTCAGGTCAGCCTCCTGAGTGTTGGGAACATGCACATAGACATGTGCCCCTCTGCTCAGTGTCTGCTCCATCTTGCCCTCTCTCTTCTGAGTCTGCAGTGGGAAGACACTAATATTTGTCTTTCCAAATTTCTGTTATGTTTTCCATAGAAGAAGTGACCATTAGTAAATATTACTCCCAGAGTTCAGTTTTCGCAAGAGACAGACAGTCCAGCCGGTGGGACAGCCCTTTTGTCACAACTGCCTGTGAACTCTGGTGGGAAGCGGATGATAACATTTTTCCATTGGTACAGCCATACCTTGACTAAATGCACTGAACCAGTGCTGAAACCTCCCATAGACTTTCCCAGCACCTGTGCCAACGCAAACACAGAGTTTGAACCAGCAACACGTGGCTGTGGGCGTGTTAGTGCTAATGAACTAGAGTGGAGAGAAAAGATTAGGAAACATCACTTTCTGTCTGCTTCTGAGGCCTCAAACTGCTGCCACGGAAATAGCATTCTGGGTTCCAAAGGACCCACAAGGCACCCAGAGGACACCCCAGAATCTGCTACTTTACATACAAGGATTTGGTTCAAATTTGTGTCACTGCTGATGAATTTTCATTGAGAAAAAATACTTTCTGGAACAGAACCCGTTAAGGCTGTCAAGAGCTATAGCTGTTGCTTGAGTTGCTTGCCTAGCATGTACAAAGCCCTATGTTCAGTCTCCAGCACCTCAAAGGCAAGCACCGTGGTATACTCCTGTAATCCAGCACCTGGGAGGTGCATACAGAGGATCAGGAGTTCAAGGTCATCCTTTGCTACATAGGGAGTTCAAGGCCAGCCCGAGTTACATGAGATGCTGTCATAAAGAGAATTCATTAAAACAATTTTAATTCCTTAATAACTTTTTATATTTTATATATTTTATAACTATATTAGTCACCTTTTGTTGTTCTGCTAAAACACCATGACCAAGGCAAACTGTAGAAGGAAGAGTTTATTTGGTTTACAGTTCCAGGGTGACTAGAGTCCATCATGGTGGGGAGGCGCGGTGGCAGAGGCAGCCAGAGCAGAAACCTGAATGCTTACATCTTTAAGTACACACAGGAAGCACAGTGAGCAAGCTATAAGTAGATCAAGGCTATAAACCCTTAAAGCCCATCCCCAGTGACATGCTTCCTCCAGCAAGGTCATACCTCCTTGAAGGTCCCATGACCCTCCCCAAACAGCCACCAACTGGGGCCAAGCATTCAAATACATGAGCCTATGGGGACATTTTGAATTCAAACCACCACAATAGTATTTTCTAAATTTCATTAATGAAACATTCTCCATTTTTCTATCTCAAGAACAATTTCCGTCAGGATAAATTCTCTTTCATGTCAAGTCTATAGTAGGAGTTTGGAAGCTGGCACAGTGGCACCACCCTAACCCAGATCCACCCTCAATACCACAAACAAAACGCTGAAATAGAAGCAAAGGCACAACAGGACACAGCCCTGACTCTCAAGCCCCGGGAAGACGTGGTACAGGCTTCCCCAGTAGCATCCACCTCACCATGTTTTCCTAGATGGAGCTTCTGCCCCAGAATATTCTCTTCCACAATCAGACCCAAAGTGTGTGACGGGGCACCCTCAGGGCTGACCATAGCTCTTCCATCTTACAGCCCTAACAGACATCAGCAACTGAAGCTAAAGGCAGTTAACTCAGTGTGGTAATAGAAAAGTTTGGCCCAGGTGCACCAGGATGTGGGTTTGAGAAAAGGTCAACATGTACCTGGCTACTCTTGCTAACTGCATGTTTCTGGCTTCTGTACTTTCTGCTCTACTTGGCCTGTACCTGCAGGACCTTTTCACCCCTGAGTTATGAGAAACCATTAGGGGGAAGGGGCTTTCCACCCCTGATCAGACAAAGATGTGTTTTTTCTGTATAAAAGCCTACCCTGAAAAAGGCTTGGGGCTGCACTTGGGATGGAATGCCCAGTGTAGTTGCTGGCTGACTATAAAGCCTTTCTTTGGGCTATACTCTGTGTCTGAGTGGTCTTCTCTGGTGGAACACCTCACAACAAGCTTCCTTCCATTTCTCTCTTTTTCCTCTGGTCACATTTAGTGTCCCAGGCCCAAATGTAGTCAATCTAAATTTTGTCACCAGTATTCTTTAAATCAATGTGGTTTTTGTTTTTCAGTAGAGTCTGTATGTGTCTATCCTGGGGCTGGTGGGTAGAACTCAAGTTCTTTTTTTGTTTGTTTGTCTTTTTGAGACAGGGTCTCCTTGTAGTCCCAGCTGGCCTGGAACTCTGGAACTCACTTTGTAGACCAGGCTAGCCTCGAGCTCACAGAGATCCACCTGCCTCTGCCTTCCAAGTGCTGGGACTAAAGGCGTGTGCCACCATGCCCGGCAAACTTGAGTTCTTTTAAAATATGTTTTTAATGTTTTTATTTTTATTTTATGTGTATGAGTATTTTGCCTGCATATATGTAGGTGTATCATATGTGCGCAGCGACCACAGAGACCAGAAGAAGGCATCAGACAGTTACAGTTGTGAGTCAGCATGTGGGTGCTGGCAACTGAGCCTGGGTCCTCTGCAAGAATAGCCAGTGCTCTTAACTACTGAGCCATCTCTCCAGCTCCAGAACTTGGGTTCTTGAGAAAACATGCTAACAAGTATCTGACTTAACAAACACGCAAACGTCACATAAAAGTGTCGCTCGGCTGCTAGGAAGCCTCTGGAGAGGATTGGAGCTCTGACAAGAATCTCCCAAATGTTTAGGGAGGCGTTCCTTACTGCAAGCAGCCTGACAGCAGTGGTTCCCTTCCATCTTCCCAATGATGTGTGCTTATTCAGGGAGATGGGGCTTGCAGCAAACTTGAATGTAGACTGATAACCCCAAAGCTCTTTAAAATGTCATAAAAGTGGTACACGCCTTTAATCCCAGCACTCAGGAGGCTGAGGCAGGCAGATCTCTGTGAGTTCAAGGCCAGCCTGATCTACATAGTGAGTTCCAGGACAGCTGGGGCTACATGGAGACCCTGTCTCAAAAAGACCAAAAAAAAAAAATGTCCTAAAAGGTGTATCATCTGTGACACAGACTCTCAGGGCCAAAGAATAGAAAGAAGTTGTGAGTTCCCAGGAGCTGACGACCTAGGGAGGCAAGATGAGCACAGGGAGCAGGCAGGACAGTGTAGATGAAGGTGGGAAAGGAACCTTGTCCAGAAGGTGAACAGGAGCCAGCTCTGCAGGAAGAAGCTGGTCTGGGGTGGAAGACAGGAGCCCCTACAAGCCTCAAGTGGGCATGGCTAGGAGGAGACCAGACATGTATAAGCCCCTTAATCTACAAGGTAGGCAGGGAGAGTGGCCTGGAGCCCCCAACCAGGCAGGCCCAACCAAGGCAGGTAAGTCTCCCCATGAAAGAGCCTCAAGAATTGACAGGACCAGAAACAGGTAGGCACGCCTATCCCTCCACTGTCACCATCATACATGCATGTATGCACATACAAACTATGCACATGTACATGTGAATTGCATGCATGTATATAGAACACACAGGTAAGCATGTATTAACTACATATACGTGCAAGTACATCACATACATGCACAGGCACAAATGCACACATTCATAACCCATATATGTACACACAAACTGCACAGAAACACACAAAACCCAAAGATAAGCATCCATGCACAAACCACACATATGTACATGCAACCACACACATGCAAACAAGAACAGTCTACTTATAAAAACCTATACAAATTTTACATATGCACACACAGATCACACATATATTCAGACTGTACACATGCACATATGAACTACACATATACCTGTGTAAGCCACATATACCACACATGATAATCCACATAAAACATGCTCTCAGACAACACACTTGCACATACAGAAGACACATACACTGTGAATACACATGCATGCCTGTCCAAACCACACACACATAAAAATCATATACAAACATTCATATATACATAAAATATACATACACATCACACATAATCATGAAGGCATGCACAAACCACATACAATGCAAGCCACACAGAGATGTATGAATGCACCAACCACACAAGAATGCTTTTAGGTACAAATTACACACATGCACATACAAGTTATGCATAAGCATACATGCAAAAAACACATACGTGTATGTACAGCTTTTCTTGAAGGCAAAAAATGCCCATTTAATTCCTTTCTAGTGTAAGATCTCTTAATTGTACATGCACTGATCTCAGGATGTATTAAGCTCCTACAGCTGTAAGTGGAAATGTGTGTGTGCTTGCATGTGCTCTGGGCTGGGCCTATGGTTTTGTGAGCTTACTCAACTATGAAGAAGGCCCTGGAGCTAGAAGAGTTGAGTACCTGGCAGGCATGGTGTAGGGCAGGTGGCTGACAGCTGTGAGGTGAGTGTTGGGGAACACTAGCTAGGCCTGGATGCAAAGCTCCAGGAACTTCCTAAGCACAAAGTGGTCTGGGGACACACCATGGAGGAATGGGGCACTCAGTGTGGGCTGGAGCATGCTTGTCCGAGAACATGGTGAGGGAAGTCGAGGGAAAATGACGTAGAGGTCCCAAAATACAGATGGAGGAGATTCTACACCTCTCTTGCCTCCTTTCCTCAGGGGCACACGGGGTAAGGACAGAGGACCATGGAGACTGCAGGCCACTCAGCCACCCTGCCAAGCAACCAGCAAAGCTCAGGTTACACAGCAAGCCCAGCCCAGGATCCCTGTTGTCAAGACTGGCACTGTGTGGGCAGTTACTCCAGCTGGAGTGAAATGCACCTGCGGTCTGCATTCACCAGGATGGAAGCCACTTAGAGCCAGAGATGACTGTCACAAAGGAGGAGGCTCATACTCAGAGAGCCCTGGCAACAGGCTCCCAGGCCACCCACCCTGTTCAGCTTGGCTACACACCAGCGTTGTCCCTGGCGTCTTCATGCTTGGCAATTGGCTAGAAGTGCTCCGGAGACTCACTTTGCCTCAGTTGGCTGCTCCATTGTGAGACACAGAAATAGCCAGGTGATCTGGTACTGGGGGTGAAAGGCAGAACAGTCATCACAAAGGACCTCTATCAAGTGAGGAAACATATCCCTCATTTGTGGGTGTGTTTTCCAACCTAGAAGTTCTCCAAACCCCAATGCATAGGTGCTGCGAACCAAGACTCCGACCAGCAGAGCCGAGGAAAGGACAACACAAACGCCAAGGTGAGGTTCAAGCAATTCTCTCTCACTCTCTCCCTTCATTCTTCGTCATCCCACAATATATACCCTCATCAGATCCATCCCACAATCAGACCGTCACACAGAGCCAATCAGGACATGAGCACGGGGCTAACATGCAGACAGAACAGCAAATCATTGAGCCACACAATAGAATCATGCTTGGTGACGTATCGCGAGTTGGAGCAAACAAGTGAGGGTCACAAGGCTTGGCAGCCAGCCAGGGCGCCATCTTGGCGGGCTAGACCGCGCCCGCTTCCCACACATAGGGTCTTTACTGAGCCTCCACTGCATAGCAGGTCTGGTGACACCCTGGCCATCACTGGTCGGTTCCATCTCCAGCCCTTCTCTCCCTTCAGTGGGAGTGGGGCTGAAGTCTCGTTCTCTGATTGAGTGCATGGCAGCCTCTCTGGTCACCAGCTACATCCTGAAGTGACCTTGGGGCCTTCATCTACTGGCCATTGACGCTCAGGAGAATCCAGTCTTAGAAGCTCTAGAGTCAAGAAATGAGAGGAAAGAAGTCTTTCTACCTATATGCTCAGGAGCTCTGTGCCAGCAGCAGGGACAAGCCAGATCTGTCACATGCTACACCTGTGTCTCCAGTCCAGATATCCCTTCTGAGCCTCAACACAGCCCACACCAGCGCCCACCCGCATTCCTCGGGGGAAATTACCCAAGTCAGCATTTACTGAGCCCTTACCCCCTGCATATCCCCTTCAGCAGCTGGTGTTCTCTTCCTTAGTTCTCAGAGCAAAGGCCTTGGCAGCTGCAGCCCAGCACCCTCCTGTCACCTGGCACCCTCCTGCAGCCCAGCACCCTCCTGTCGCCTGGCACCCTCCTGCAGCCCAGCACCCTCCTGTCACCTGGCACCCTCCTGCAGCCCAGCACCCTCCTGTCGCCTGGCACCCTCCTGCAGCCCAGTACCCTCCTGTCGCCTGGCACCCTCCTGCAGCCCAGCACCCTTCTGTCGCCTGGAACCCTACTGCAGCCCAGCACCTTCCTGCTCAGACCTTTTTGGAGTTACTTTACATCCAGGTTCAGTGAAGGTCACTCTCCAGCCCCCTGCTTAGACACTATCCCCCCGAGCTGGGGACTACTCTACCCATCCTCTCTCTCTTCCCTCACTCTTCTGTGCCCCACCTAGATGGAGGTAGGTTATGTCTGTCCACACAATGGCCAAGAGATGGTTTGAGGCTCTGGGTTATTGTGAATGTGCAAGCTTGTTGCAGTCCATGGGGGCCTGCAGAGCAGAGCCTTCTGGAAGGCCTTCTGGGCATAGACCTGCTGTGTCCCCAGCTGTTCCCACACTTCCAACCCTTCTTTAGTGTCCCACCAACTTCACCCTCCAAAACTTCCTCTCCACACCCTTCAAGAGTGACACCCCAAAACCTCTTCCCTTTAAGCAGGCTTTTCTTGTCCCCAAGCCCAGAGTATTCTGTTTGTGCCTTTCAGTATCGATGCCCTACTGTTGGAGTTTCCCAGCTTCCCCATATGTGCTAGAAGCTTCCAGAAGGTGCTTCCTTACTGGTGGTATGTCTTCACAGCCCATTAGAGGTCCTTATATAGGAAACTAACACAACTGGAGCTGCTGAAGGTCATGCATCCTGAGATGAGGCTGGTGACCAGGGCTCATCGCCCTGCACAGTGACGTGGGACTCATTGCCCTGCAGGAAGGCCACTTCCTGGCATTACAAGGGAGCCTGGGTCTCAAGGCTTGCATGGCTGGCTTTAGACTGTCACAACCTAACTAGTCCTGTGACAGTGACCCCAGCTCCAGGGAACTGGGGTAAATGTGTAACTGGCCTCAGCACCAGCCCATCTCTCATGGAACCAGTCAGTCACCAGGGCTTCCTGGAAGGGGCCCAGAAGGACATCACTCTGGCCTTGCTCCATTTTGGCCAAGCCTAGATTCCCGTGGCCCCCCGACCTGTATCCTCCCCTAGCCTGTGTACAGAGTAGCCTGGGAATAGATCCATCTCCACCCCTTGGGTATAAATAGGTCTGTGTGGCTGGCCAGGGAATAGCTGTGCTTGTTTAGGCTGAAGCAAAAGGTAAGTAGAGCCTTCTCGGCTTCTTTCTTTCCTTCATGGGGCACTGGTGGCCAGGAGCTGAGCTATGGGTGGAAGAAGGGGCTGGGGTAGGGCAGAGCCACTACAAAGGGCTGGCTGAATGGTATTTGTTCTGGAGCAATGAGCCGGAGTCAGTGGTGGCCAGATGCTTCAGGGGATAGGACATTGATCACTTCTCTCCTACAAGGCTAGATGTCCAGGTGGGCTGATGTCTGTTCACCACCAGCCTGGGCTTACTGGAGACAGCTTGTCTTTAGTCAAGCAGGACAGCTGGGGCCTTCTGCCTCCTGTGAGCCCAGCTGGGTCCTCAAAGGCAGAGGGACTGGCATCAGACCAGCACTAGGGTGGCCAACAGTCCACTGGGCCTATATCCAGCATGAGGGAAAAACAAGGCTTTGTTGTTGGAGCTGTGAGCAGTAGGAAGGGGCTGGGCCCTGGAGATTCACCAGACTCAGGGGGCTGTGGTTGTCTCAAGCAGTGTCTCTCATCCTGGCTCAGGCCTGGGTCAATGTTATGGCTCCTCGTTGTGTAAAGAGACCTCCTCATGTCCGAAGGCTCTCTGGGGCATATGTCAGGAGAGCTGAGTAGTGCAGAAGTGCTTTGCGAGCATCAGGTTATGCAAAAACGTAGTTCTTTCTTTGTTTGACATTGTGTATGTGTGTGTGGGGGGTGCATGTGTGTGTGGCGGTACACAAACCATGTGCACACGTGGAAGCCAGAAGAGGACACTGGGTGTCCTGCTCTGTCACTCTTGCCTCATTCCCTTGAGACAGGGTCTCTCACTGAACCTAGGACTATGCCGACAGCCAGCATCCTTCTGCCTCTACCACCCACACTGCGGGGGGTACAGGTGCGTGTGGTCAACCTTTACATTCAACCTTTTACATCCAAACTCATGTCCTCATGTTTGTACAACAAGAGCTCTTACCTGCTGAGTCATCTTCCCTGCACCCCCCCCCCACACCATTATTTCAAGAGGCGATGTAGGTTGTGCCTAAGTGCCACCCATGGGATCAGGGAGTCTGGGTCTGAGTCTTAGGTGTGTCATCTGGAGCTGGTCACCAGATCTCTTTCTTCCTCTGCAAAATGGCATTATTGACTCCACCTGACAGCCCCTTACCAAGGGTCTGTCTGTCTCAAGACTGTTTTGGGGCTCTGGACTGACCCATGGACCAAACAGCTCTTGTGGCACTCACATTCTTGTGGGAGGCAGACCAGTGTGGCACATAACAGAAACATAGCTACAGGACACAGAGCTCCTGGTGGCTGGTGCTAGGTGAGGAGGAGGTGAGGGAGGAGTCTAGGGAGCCTTGGGTAAGTGAGGATGTAACAGAAATTAGCTGGTGACATAGGAGAGCACTGAGACAGTTCCCCCCTCCAGCAATGGAAGCATGGCCCTGAGCTGCCATCACAGTGGCCATGGGATGGGGACACAGAAGAGAAACTGGCTAGGAAGGAAGAGAAAGGGGACATTGTGCCCCTCTGTTCTCAGGACCCAGATGAGACCTGACTTTGGATAAACTTGAACCACAGCAGGGAACAGCTGAGAGAAACTTGCTCAGCCGAAGGACAGCTATAACTCACTTCCTGGGACAGTGGCCATGACACAGCTCCCTAGATAGTGCCCATCCACAGAAGCAGCAATGTGGGAGGGGCTGCATCTGCCTCCACAGCTCATCCTACCCCATGTGTACCTGTGATAGGTTCTGGACCCCCGACTGTGCCTTAGTTTACGTTATAGCAAGCCGAATAGCAAGGTCTGGTGGTCATGAGCAGAATTGTTCATTTTGATTTTTCATACCACGAGGCTTTCCCTGAGAATGGTGGACTGAGTCAGATGTGTGCGGGAGGGAGCGGTGTGGTCAGGTCAGGGTCTTCTGCAGTGGGATGACCAGGGCAGAGCAAAGAGCACCTTGTGAGTCTATGAAAGACTCTGTGTGTGCAGCCGAGGCTGGCACCCTGAACTGGGTATGGGAGGCCAGGGTGACCTCAGAGCCTGATGACACCATAGTGACTTTCTGAGATCATTAACTTATAAAGAGAAAGGTTTGTTTTGGCTCATGTGCTAGAGTTCCAGGCCATGTTCAAGTGGACCCACTGTTCTGGGCCTCTGCTGGGGGGTGTTAGATGGCAGTGGCGGCAGAAAAAGACCACATGGCAGAGCCAACTGCTCCCCTTATGGTCAGGAAGCAAAAACATATGTAATAATAATAATCATAATAATAATAATAGAGGAAGAGGCTGGGACCCCACGGCCACAGTCCCTTTCAAAAGCACAGCCCCAGTGACCTCAGGATCCCACTACCCCCTACCCCCTAAATGTCCACATCCCCTCCAACATTACCATGCTGGGCATCCAGCTTTTAAGCACAGGGACCTTGGGGTGATTCGTTGAGTACTGTGGAAGGTGGAAGATTGTATGTGTGAAGATGAGGCAGGGAAATGAAGGCCTCAAGGTAAACTTCAGTCAGTGCTGAGGGGCCACAGCCCAGCAGTGGGGGCTGGGACAAGCAAGGTGAGGGGCAGGAAAGCTAAATCACATGGCATGGTGGTAAGCGCCTCTATGAGAACAAGTACACGTGGTCTACACGGTCAGAAGTGAGCGATCAACAGAACAAGAACTCATCCCCAGAACCAGAAGAGTAACAGATTTGCACAGCCAGTTCGGGAAACTTCCTCCAAGAACCCAGGCTGGCCCCACACACTGTCTGCAACAGCTGAGGCTAGAAGGAAGCTGAGGTTCAAGGTGAAGGGTATCCAGCTCACTGGACCACCCTGCCCCCTGGTCTGTGTCTAGGCAGGGCTCTAAGCCCCAGCCACACCTCTGAGTGTAGGCATCTAATAGATAACAAATCAGTTTCTGGGACAGCATAGACCACTGAAACCACCCATGAATGAGTAGGCTAGGCAGGCATGGGCCACTGAATGACACCCAGCCTATCTGGAGCATGGGACAGGTGGGAAGGACCTGGCTGTGGGCCAGGCCTATGGTGTGGCACCCAATCTTGGCTGTGTGTTAAGAGCTCAGGAACCAATCCTCTGCCACACCTGGGGATTCCACAAAGAACTCACAGCCATCATCATCTGTGTGTCTGGTTCTGTCAGGACCATGTCACAGATAACATGATAACAGAAGGTATTGTCTCCAGTTGGAAGTTCAAGGACAAGGTACGGTCAGGGCTGAGTCCTTCTGAGGCCATGGCTTTTGCTTTGCAGATGCTATTTTCTCTGCTGTGTCATACAATTGTCTGTCTGTGTTTCTCTATCCTGGTGTGTGTGTGTGTGTGTGTGTGTGTGTGTGTGTGTGTCTTTGCATGTATATAGAGGCTGAAGGACAACCTCATCCTTAAGAATGGTGTCCATGTCCTTTGAGGCTGGGTCTCTCATTGGCCTAGAATTCGCCTATTAGGCTAGAATGACTAGCCAGAGAACCCTGCCTGAGTGCTGGGATTAGAAGTATATCCCACCACATCTGGTATTTTTACATGGGTTCTGGGGATCAAATTCAGGTTCTCATGCTTGCAAGGCAAACACTTTACCAACTGTCCTCGATGCATGCCTACATGCAGGCAATACATACATACACATAAAAATTTTTAAATTTTTAAAATTTATTTTTACTTTATGTGTGTGAGTGTTTTTCATGATTGTATGTTAGTGCACCCATGTCAGTAATGCCCACAGAAACCAAAAGAGTGTATTAGATCCCCTGGAACTGGAACTAAGAACACTTGTTGGCTGCCATGTGGGTGCTGGGAACCAAACCTGGGTCGTCTGCAAGAGCAGCCAGTGCTCTTAACCACTGAGCCATCTTTCCAGTCCAGATGCCCTCTTCTTTTTTAAAATATTTTATTTTTTATTTTATGTGTATGAGTATATTGCCTGCATGTAAGTAAGTGTACCCATGTTGTGCAATGTCCATGGAGGTCAGAAGAGGGCATCGGATCCTCTGGACCTGGAATTATGGATGGTTGCTAGTCACCACGTGGGTGCTGGAATCAAATGCAGGTCCTCTGCAAGATCAACCAGTGCTTTTAACCACTGAGCCATCTCTCCAGCCCAGATGCTATCTTCTATAAAGGACACCTGCTGGTTTGTATTAGGGCCCACTGTAAGGACCTTATTTTACTTTAATCACATCTTTAAAGACCCTTTCTTCAAATATAGTCACACTGGAATGGATGGGTGGATCAGGTCTATCCTCCCAGTTGCTTGGGAGTCTGAAGCAGGACAATCACAAGTCAAAGTCTACTTGGGATATAGAGTGAGTTTAAGGCCAGCCTTGGCAACTTATCTATACCCTGTCTCAAAATAAACAGTCAAAAGGGGACTAGAGATGTGGCTCACTTAGTAGAGTGCTTTCCTAGCATGCCTGAGGGACTGGGTTCGATCCCCAGCCTCTTAGAAACTGGAAGTGGTGGTATACACCTGCAATTTATGCACTCAAGAGCTCAAGGCAGGAGGATCTGAAATTTAAGGCCATCCTCATCTGCATAGTGAATTCAAGGCCAGTTGGGATACATGAAACCCAGCCTCAAAAAATAGTAAAGAGTTCTGGCTATGGAGCTCAATGGTACAGCGATTACCTAGCATGCAGAAGGCCCTGGATTCTGACCCCAGTACCCAAACCACAGTCACCTTCCATGCTCTGGGGGTTGGAATGTCAACTCGTAGTCAATGTGTCTTCCATTTGGTTCATCCAGATGTTTTCCATGGGGCTTTGAATCCATTCCTGAACTATTCCTGGGAGTGGGGGGCTTCTCCTGGGCTGTGTATGATTGCCCTGCTTTTGGTTTTGAATGAGTGAATTTATTATACAGCAAGCAAAATTAAAAGTGTAAATAGCAAGTAGCAGATAGTGAGAAGCACCAGATAAACAGAAAACATCATCCGACAGCGACGACTAGAGTAGCCCAGCTGAGAGACCGAGGGCATCATCAAACTGGGAGCTTGTAAGCATCCAGCAGCGATGACCGGGGAACTTGAGGCCGTCAGCTGGAGCTCCCGATGAGCTTTCTCTCCACAGCTGAGCTTTCCATGGCTGAACTTCTGGCCTCTCTTTCCCTCTGCAGACACTTGTACATCATGGAATAAACCATAGTAACCTCTGTTGGGAATAGTTTCCCTTTCAGCTCCTCTCAGGGGCACAGTGTGTTTAGTCTTGGGCTCTTTGGCTGTTCTCTGCCCTTCCTGTCATAGAGTCGGGGGGAGAGCCCATGCCCCAAGACCAGGGGCCTTGGAGAACACTTTGAGACAGACATGCTTGGGTCTTAAATGGAGACGGGGGAAACTGCTTCCTGGGCCAGCATCTTAGTGAGTTGAAACAGCACGTGACAATTTACAGTAGTATGTACATTACATGTGACCACAGGTAATGCTGGGACAGATAAAGGCCTGGCTGCAGGGCCTTCAGCAGAGCTAAATAACCACCAACCATTTTCACAAAATATTATTCCAGGACACACAGAAGCAAGCACTCGGGTCAGCAATGGCTCCCATTGGCATGGGCCTGAAGGCCACCATCTTTTGCATCCTGGCCTGGGCCAGCCTAGCAGCTGGGGACCGGGTGTACATCCACCCCTTTCACCTGCTCTTCTACACCAAGAACAGCTGCGCCCAGCTGGAGAACCCCAGTGTGGAGACACCCCCAGAGCCGACCTTTGCACCTGTGCCCATTCAGGCCAAGACCTCCCCCGTGGATGAGGAGAGCCTGCGTGACCAGCTAGTGCTGGCTGTAGACAAGCTGGGGATTGAGGACCGACTGCGGGCTAAGCAAGTTGCAATGATAGCCAACTTCCTGGGCTTCCGCATGTACAAGATGCTGAATGAGGCAGGGGGCACAACCAGCTGGGAGATCCTCTCCCCACCAGCTCTCTTTGGCACCCTCGTCTCTTTCTACCTTGGCTCCTCAGACCCCACAGCCAGCCAGCTTCAGGCACTACTGGGTGTTCCTGGAAAGGAAGGAGATTGCACCTCCCGGTTGGATGGGAAGAAGGTCCTCTCTGCCCTACAGGCCATTCAGGGTCTGCTGGTTGCCCAGGGCAGAACCAGCAGCCAGGCACAGGTGCTGCTATCTACAGTAGTGGGCCTGTTCACAGCCCCAGGCCTGCACCTGAAGCAGTCATTTGTGCAGGGCCTGGCCCCCTTTGCCCCTGCCATCTTCCCACGCTCTCTGGACTTGTCTACTGATCTGTGTCTCGCCACCGAGAAGATCAACAGATTCATGCAGGCCGTGACAGGGTGGAAGATGAACTCGCCCCTGGCGGGGGTCAGCACAGACAGCTCGCTGCTTTTCAACACTTATGTTCACTTCCAAGGTGAGGCAAACCCTCAGGTCAGTGCTGGCCCTGGCTGGTACCAGGGGAGGCATTCTGGGTTTCCATGTGTCTCCACGGCCTGTGTGGGAGATGGCCAGGAGGCAGCATGTTCCTTCTACCTCTGTCTACTGGTGAAGCAATAGAGACTCAGGGAGCAAACCTTGCTGGGGGGGGTGGGGTAGGGGGCACAGCTCCACCTCCCGACCCCATAGCCATACTCTGTGCTGGATAACACTAACATGTCTGGAGAAGTCTGGGACTAGGGTGTTTGGCCCATGCAGGAATACCTGACTTGGTTTGCTTGCTTATGTAGGGAAATGCCTGTATATCCCTACCCCAGAGGCTGCTTATTCATTCAATAAACTCTCACTACTGACAAGACTGGCCAGGAGCCTCAGAGGTGCAGAAAGCCTTGTCTTCCAGTAATGATAGAGACCCCTAAGGGCAAAGTCCCAGGGCAATACTGCAGGGAACAGTTCTAACTGTGTGGCCTCAAAGGCAGTGAGGGGAAACAGACTGGAGAAGGCCAAGGGCAGATGTCCTTGCAAAGGCTAAGGAGATCAGGATAGGATGAGGGCAGAGGGGCCGGCTGGGCTGAAGGAGCAAATGCACTGTGGGAAGGGTGGGTTTTCCTGCTCCAGTGGGCTGAGTGGAACAGTCCTGCTCATAGGAGGTAGGCCCTGAGGCCTCTGATAGCCCTACAGATGTGAATGCCATCCAAAGGCATGCAGTGATCCAGGCAACTATCCTGGGAACATGTGCCAGGGTAGCAACTCTTCAGATAGATGGTTGGTAGGGGAGGGTTACATCAATGAGGAAGATGTGCCACAATGGAGTAGAGGCAGAGGGGTCAATGCCTGCCATGACAGTGTCTGCATTCTGTAAACTCAGGGAAAGACCTTGGTCTGCCTTAGGACCAGGGAAGTGAGAGGTCAGATTGTCAGGAAGGCCAGAGGCAGCCCTGCTGCACCATAAGTTGGAAGGGAACCTGGGGCTGAGCCACAGTCCCTGGAAAGGCTCCTGGGAAAACTCATTGAAAAACAATGCTGACAGGGCAAAGGTGTCAGGGATAGTATCTTGCCTTGGAGGAAGGCCTGTCCCTACAACCCAGACTGCAGAGTTGGGAGGGAACAGAGAAGGCATGGTCGGGGGAGGAGAAGGGAGAGGAGAAGGGGAAAGAGGAGGGGGAGGGGGGAGAAGAAAAGAAAGTGAAAAGGGAGGAGGATGGGGAGGAAGAAGAGAAAGAGGAGGTGGAGGAAAGTGAACCATGCCAACACTGAGTCGTTTGCTCACCTGTATTCTGTCCTGACCTTGCTGCTGCCTGACCTTTCCTGCCTCAGTTTCCACCTGATGGAGGCCCACCATCTTCTTGCAATCTGTGAGGTTAACAGGATGTCTTAGAAGCTCCAGGTCCCATTAGGAATGGCCTGGGGAACAGTTGATTGTGTGTATCTAGTGAAGCCTAGAGGTTTTGGGCTTATGATCCCGGTGCCCTTTGCCCAGTACTTGCTGTCCTCAGGGCTTGGGTGGCCCTGGTAGGTTCCATGACACCAGGTGACATGACCTGAGGAAATTTACTCAGCTGATGAGCTGTGTTCCAGGGAAGGGCAGCCACCAGCCTCAGGTCTCAGTGTCTCTCTGGAGGCAATTTCCTCTTTCTATTTTAGTTGCTAGAGGGACAAACTCTGTGCTTTTCCTCTAAACTGAAAAGCCCTGCTGAGGTCCTGGGGACTGAGGAACTACTACCCCTGCTTCTTGTTCATAGGAACTTCATGCATATAACAGGGTCTCTCTATGTAATGCAGACTACCTTGAACTCTGAGCAATCCTCCTGCCTCAGCCTTCTAAGTGCTGAGATTACAGGGGTGAGCGACTCTCATGGCCTTTTGGGAATGGCTCTTATAACCACCCAGAGGGCTCTGGTTAAGAGGGCTTCACTCCTCTGAGATAAGGACCTGGTGGAGCCAAGCCATGTCTAGGCCCTTCATACAGGAGCCACACTGGACACCCTTGACGACTCCGGGCAGCAGGGCGCCTGCTTCTTAAGCATCCTCTGTAGAGCTGGGCCTGTACCACAACCCCATCCTCATCTCCTCAGATACCTCCTTCAGAATGAAAGGGAAGACTGGTGGCGTGTCTGAAGTCAGTGTAGACAAAGGGGCCGTCATGAAGCCATTCCAAGTAACAATGCCATGAGTACTGGTGTTGGCCCCATCTGTGGCATCCAGTGGGGCGGCTCAGCCTGTGCTGAGAATCCTTCTTGCCACCTCCCTAGCTCACTCCTATCCTCAGCCTTGTGTGGGGGAGGGGAAAGGAGACTCAACCCCAAACCAAGGACTGTGCTTGGTGTCATTGGTTATCACCGTCTTTACATCTATCTCCGTGGCAAGAGATGTCAAGAGCTGGAGTCTTGGTCTGGGGATCTGGACTAGCTGCAATCCATGATGTGGGGTGGGAGGTGGGGACTGAGGAAGCTCCAGCAGGCTCCGCTGCAGCTGAATGAGGTAGACATGTAGACAGAGGGAAGTGACTCAGTGATGTCACAAGAGTGGGCACAGGTCACTCTAGGTTTGTCTAACCCTGCTGAGTGTCCAACAGAAGAGAGCCTCATGTGAACCATGGGCTATGGGTGCAACTGGGGTGTCTGTGTAGGCTCACCGATGGCAACAAAGAGACCCTGTGATGAAATGCTGACAGTGGAAGTCGGGAAGCAGGGGTTATGTCAGCAAGTGCACTTTCTGCTCAGATCTGCTGGAAATCTAACACTGCTCTAAAAAATAATGTTTAAGGTGTGTGTGTGTGTGTGTGTGTGTGTTCACTTGCATCTGTGTGTACAGGAAGATGTTGGGTGTCTTTCTCTATTGTTCTTTACCTTATTGAGACAGAGACTCTTACTGAACCTAGAGCTCACTGTTTCAGCTAAAGCGGCCAGTGAGCCCCAGGGATTCACCCCCACTACCCCGCCCGTGTTGGGTTACAGATCTGCACACCTGGCTTTTACATGCACTTGGGGCCCTGAACTCAGATCCCCAGGCTTCCATAGCAAGCAGCTCATCCACTGAACCATCTCCCCAGCCCAAAACACCTTTCTCTCTCTCTCTCTCTCTCTCCTCTCTCTCTCTCTATCTCTCTCTATCTCTTTCTCTCTTGTTTTCATGCTTTTTTCTTTTGTTTCTCTCTCTCCTCTCTCTCTCTCTCTCTCTCTCTCTCTCTCTCTCTCTGTGAGTTTAATGGATCTGGGTATCTGGGTTGATCTTGCCTGGTCAGGCAGAAGCAGGCTGAGTCCGTGTGTGTGACAGGTGTAAGAACTCCAGCTTCACACCAGCTTGCACCATGACTTCTACAGCTGTCAGAACCTCTGTGGGGAGTTCAAGTGGCTGGACATGGGAGGGTGCCTAAGAGAGTGAAGTTCCAAGGCCAGGACAATGCATCTTGGTGGCAAGGAAGCTGAGACTGGAGTCAAGGCGAGAGGGCTCTGGGAGTGGGCCCATCCATGGCTGGCTGCTGACCCTCCCTCCTGGTCTCTGCTGTTTTCAGGGAAGATGAAAGGCTTTTCCCTGGTGCCTGGACCCCAGGAGTTCTGGGTAAACAACAGCACCTCAGTGTCCACCCCCATGCTCTCGGGCACTGGCACCTTCCAGCACTGGAGTGACCCCCAACACAACTTCTCCATGACACGCGTGCCCCTGGGTGAGAGCACCGCCCTCCTGCTGATCCAGCCCCACTGTACTTCAGACCTGGACAGGGTGGAAGTTCTCGTCTTCCATCACAACCTCCTGACCTGGATGAAGAACCTGTCCCCTCGGTAGGAAGGGTGGGCCTCCATGGAAAGCGGAGTTGAACGAGTCATGGCACATGGTCTGTCCATGTACACATGGGGGCTCCCCTTGCTGCTACCACTAGCAGTGTGGCTATGCGCTTGCTGTCTGTGATGCTTTTCCAAGAAGTGGATGAGATGAAGGTAGACAGAGCTAATAGGACAGAGTGCCACACAGACCACAAGTACCATGTCCCTCCACAGAGAGGCAGTGAGCCAACAGACCATTACCTTATTTTTTTTTTATTTATTTTTTTATGTGTATGAATGTTTTGCCTGCATGTATGCAAATGCACCCATGTCATGCAATGCCCAAAGAGGCTAGAAGAGGACATCAAATTCCCTGGAACTAGAATTATGGATTAGCCTCCATGTGAATGCTGAGAACAGAGCCCCAGGTCCTCTGCAAGATCAGCCAGTGCTCTTAACAGCTGAGCTATCTCTCCAGCTCTGAAACAGTGTAGCCCTGACTGACCTGGAACTCACTAGTAGACTAGGCTGGCCTCAAACTCACAGAGAACTCTCTGCCTCCCGTGTTAGGATTAAAGGTGTGTGCCACCATGCCCAGCTTATTTTGGCTTTTTGAGAGGGTCTAGAATTTGTGACAATCCCATGTTGTAGCCCTCAAGTGCCAGGGTGGCAGGAGAGAGCTATCATGTCTGGCTAACAGCCTGTTAATTTAAAGGCGCTTCTTGGCTTTTCCCCAGAACATGCTCCCTATGCAGCCAGGCTCTGAGAATGAAGGGCAGACAGACCTTCTGGGTCTTCCTCCCATTTCAGACCACATGAAGGTTTTCATTGTGTTTGTTGCTGAGAATTTCCTGCAGATGAGGATGCTGTGCTGGGGGACACAAACACTCACCTCAGGACACTAACAACAGTCCAAAGAAACAACTCCCCTGCCAAATCCAATTTCGCTGAATTTTCACGAGCATGTGCCACCCATAGGCAGCTGCATCATCGCAGAGCCCACCCCAGCATGGGAGCCCACACACAAGCACTGCCTCCCTGGAGCTCCCTCACAGCTTGCAGCAGCTCCACCAGTCTCCTCTCCCAAGCAACTGTTTCCTGCTTATATAAATGTGGGGCGGGGCTTGTGACTTGTGTGACTACCTCAGCTTGCTGAGTAGTCTGTTTCAGTTTGGAGTCCATCACCCTGACTGAGCAAAGGCTTAGATCCCCCGCCCCGCTTCTTCAGTGGGTAGAAGCATCCCAGGACCCCTAACAGCATTGTTTCCCCAGGGCCATCCGCCTGACCCTGCCCCAGCTGGAGCTGCGAGGATCCTATAACCTTCAGGACCTGCTGACCCAGGCCAAGCTGCCCACCTTGCTGGGTGCCGATGCAAATCTGGGCAAGATCAGCGACACCAACCCCAGAGTGGGAGAGGTGGGTGTTTCCCTGAACCCCAGGGGAGGGTGGATGGGGACCTAGAGGAAGCTGTGGGTGGGGCTGGTGGGGCTGGAGAAAAGGAGGACAGAGCCGTAGGTCTAGACAGAGGTGGGAGAGAAATCAGTGCTCTGGACTTCCCAGCAGCAGCCTCCACCCAGCCCTTCTCTGGCTCCAGTACACCTGTCTTTGCTCAGTCTAGCCTTGTAGCCTCTGAGATGCTGTAGCAGGTCTGGCTTGGGGGAGTAGCCCCCAGCCTGTGCCCTGAGCAGATCAGCAGTGGACAGGGAACTCTGCAAAATGGAGGGACACACCTAGATGCTCTCCGCACTGTGCTGGGTGCTGTAGTGAACAGGGTCACTATAGGGGGCATGAACCCACTGTGCTATTTTGGCCGAGCGTTAGGGGACAGCACAGTAGCAGGTGGGGACACGGGTGTGTGACATGCTGGGTGGGAGTCACTATGTGAGCTGGGTGTTTGTGATCTGTGCCCACATAGAGGGCAGATGTGTATGACCATCCTCCTGGCAGGCTGGGCAGTGTCCTTCCCCAGGTAGTACATAACACAGCCCCTGGTCCTGCAAGCCCTCCTGCAGGAAAGAGGCCAATGTCTCTGCTTTGCAGGTCCTCAACAGTGTCCTCCTTGAACTCAAAGCTGTCAAGGGAGAGCAGCCGACTGAGTCTGCCCAACAGTCTGGCTCACTTGAGGTGTTGGACGTGACTCTGAACAGCCCATTCCTGTTCGCCATCTATGAGCGACACTCAGGTGCACTGCACTTCCTGGGCCGCGTGGATAACCCACAGAGTGTCGCATGAGGCCTGGCAGCCTCCTGTAGGCCTCTAAGGCTTAGCCACGGAGACAAGGCCAGTTGCAGAGGGCTATCCTGGGTAAAATCAGTGCTGTCACCCAGGCTTTCCACCACTCCGAGGAAGAGGCCATCTCCTTGGTGACCTGGCACTACCCATGAATAATGAGGAACAGAATTGGCCTCCCAGGGTTTGTATGGAGACTGGGGTAGGAGCCAGAAGCTGGTGCTCAGCACAGGACTACTGTTCTGGAAAGAATTTGGACCCAACAACTGTTTGTGAAACCAAGACATTCCCTTTTCATCTGAGAACAGAAATTGGGTTTTAACATTAAAATACACATTGTCCCTTTGCTTTGGGTTTGCATTTAGCTTACTGTGAGACCAGTCCTTCAGAGTCCCTACAATACCTTAATTTTCTTTCCCATGGTACCATTCAAGTTTTGAAAAAACTGCGTGAAACACCCCATCACCTGAATTCACACTAGATTGTAACACAATGCCAATGATTCCTGGCTTTGCTGGTAATTATTTTTTGGTAAGTTAAAGGATTCCTAGCAGAAGACATGCTCGGTTCAGCAGGCTGTGAGATGCTGGGTGGAGGAAGGGAAAGTCCGTCCCCAGGAGGCACTGAGACCTGAGTGAGTGTCTGTTTAGGAGCTTCTTCCACCCAAGACATGGGGCTGCATCCTGGGACTCTGCCTGTCCTCAGGGTTAGATCCACAGCCTCCAGATCTGGGGTAGCACGGATGGTATGTGTGTGCTGAGCAGGTCTCCTCACTGTACACTGAAGCGGGCAAATACTTCAGTGTGTTGGCCAGAGGCTTCAGCGGCAGCAAGTGCGGATCCTGGGTCAGCACATGGGTGCGGCCTGCTCGTGTGCCAGGCCTTGCCTCTTCAGACAGGCTGCTCCTGAGACCAAGGTTGGGACACGGCCCTCAGGACAGTTGGGATGTGTTCCTGTGACGGAAGTCCATCTTCACAGAAGAGCCACGTCTTGTCTCAGCTTTTCTCTCCCCAGTCTGGCTCCCGTCCCTGGACTATCCTGTCTAGTTCCACCCTATGGGTGTGGCCACAGACTAGCCCATCCCACTCATGCCAGGTGTGTGATAAGCAGCATGGTGAGGGATTCACGTACCACTGTGTAACTGGTAGCCAGCTCCTCAGCCTCCCTGTCCTTATGTGTAAAATAGGAACTGCCAGGTTGAGTACATTAACTGCCATTAAAAGAGGTCATGACCCTCATTCTAGACCTGCTTGGGGAAGGCAGCGTATTATTTTTCTCCTGGTTGTGACAAAACATGACAAAAGCCAACACAAGGAAGTTTATTTTGGCTTTGTGAGTGGTGGGGGAGGCACAACAGCAGCTGGTCACACTGTCTGCAGTGGGCAAGGAGAGATGAATGCCCACCTACTTTCAGGGTAGGTCTGCCTACTGACTGAGGAGTTATCCCAACCTAGAAACTCCCTCACAGGCATGCCCAGAGGGCTTTTTCCTTTGGTGATTCTAAATCCCATCAGGTTAACAAGATTAGCCATCACAGAAGTGCAGGCAGGCAATAGCGGTGGGCTGATACCCAGGCTGGGACCCCTGGGACATGAGACAGGTCCCTTATAGGGCAAGATTAGGGTTAGCCCTGGCAGCTGGAGAAGGCAAGGAGGTTCTCTAGTCCTGGAGGAAGCTCAGCCCTACCCACCCACACCCAGGCAAGCCATTTCAGTCACAGGAAACTCACTGGGCAATCCTTCTATGTGCTCCATGGCTCCCAATGCTGTCCTGGGGAGTCTCTGCAGGCCAGCCTCCCCTGCAGCACAGATTCATAATTGGACCTAACTGTTCCTCCCTGCTGCGCCTCGGGGAAACCCAGGACCAGGTAAACACAGGGCTGACACAACACTTAGCAGTGCCAGGGAAGTACTGGCTGTCTCGGGTTCAGACAGTATCACCCCTACAGTACAGCTGGGGGAGGGTTTGAGTTGTGGGACCCCACAGCCTCCTCCTCCTCCCTCACCACTTGCCTATCAGCCACACCAGAAGCCCTGGGCTGGTACCACAGGAGACACTACACAGCTGATCGCTGAAGCACAGGGGCCTGAGCCAGGCCTGCACCGTCCTGGGATCCAATCCTGTCAGCTGAGCTCTGCTTTGTGACAAACTATAAGCTGCTGAGCTGGAAGCCAGTGGAAGTCCTGCTGACCAGCGGGACCTGCAGCCCTTTCCATGGGCTGCCCTCCTCAGCTCTGCAGGCTCACCTTTCCCACCTCAGTCAGTGCTCTGTGCACTAAAGCAGAGTAGATGTAGCACAGGGTACTTAAAAACAGGGTACAGCTTGAGCCGCGGCAAAGGTGATGGCTCCTTCAGAGGGTGGTGCCCCCAACAACAGCAACTCTGAACTGCCTTGAGAACCAACAATCACTTGGTGTTTGGCCATCATGTTAACAGTCATTGAAGGCAACCTGGGAGATGAAGCTTCCAGGCTTCAGGTCCCTAAATGGACTGGCTCCTCTCTTCTGGGATGGAGTATGCCAGAAAGCAGCAAACTTGCATCTGAGATGGCTTTTTAGGTTGCATGTTGAAGTTGGAAAAAAAATTTGAACAGAAACATACTACTTCACCTTCAAACGATGGAATTTAAAAAAAGGCTCTCACCAGGGGAACTAATGAACAAAACAAAAGGAGAGCTCTTCTGCGGGAGCCGTTAGATTTTTGCCTGAACATCCTGTTCTCAAGCCCAGAAACAACAGGGAGGCTGGAAGGCGATCCAGAGTCAGAGCTAACAGGGTCCAGGGGAGGCCTCCATGCCCACTCTGGACCACTGATCTTTATGGGCTGAGGCTGCAATATGGGTCTGGAGGTATCCTGCCTGGGCTCAAATCCACCTGTCAGTCATCTCAACTCCTGCTGCCTCATCTGTAGGATAGAAACAATAAAGCTGGAGTTGGGCTGAGGACCCTGCCCTCTCTTTTCTAGAATCCAGGAAAAGGCAGAGCCACCAGGGAACAGGGACATATAGGTCCCCTTGGGTGAGGGCCATACTCTGCATGTGGAATCATGCAAGTTCCAGTAACAGCACAGTTCCCTGGGAGGGGTCCCTGCCCTGTACCTGCAGTGGCCCGAGGCCTACTGGCCTCTGTACTGGTGCTGGTGCGACTTGTCTACCTATGGGACAGAACCACTATGTGCTAGAGGGAGGTCTACACACAGGACCCTTCCAACTGTGCTGAAGGGATGCATGTCACCACAGGTGCACAAGAGCCACTTGTACTGATTTCATAATTTACAGGCCTGAAACAAACATTTCTTTTAGGAAAGGACCTTTCCTAGGGCTCTGGCTCCTGCCAGAGGTGTGGGTAGAAGACCAAAAGTGCTGTTCTCACGCACTAATGGGGACAGCCACCTTGAGGTCTCTCAGGCCAGGTCAACAGTGTCTCCCAGGTCAGGGACAGTGCTTCCCCTGCAGGATCAGGACAACCTGCTAGCCACACTTATTTATTTTAATCCTACTGTAGAAATCAGCTCTTCCACATTAAGATTTACAACAAAAATAAAACAATTTGTTCTGTAAACTGTAGTAAAAAGTCTCAAATGTCTTAAAAACTATCTTCCATACAATGGAAAAGGCTTGTTGTTCTTTCTGGGTGAAAGATAGTCCACGTGCACTGGGCAGGAGTAAGGGCTGCTGCTGAGTGACTTCAGGCCCTGCCAGGACACCTAGGGCTGCTCTGCCGTTGCCTGGTCCCTGGCAGTGAGGACAAGCTCTGTGATGGCCGGGAAGCTTTTGATGTCACTGGTCTGCAGGCCCATCTTTTGTATCTGTAAAGGCGACAAGAATTCATTGTCACCATGATGAGAGCTGACTAGGAAAAAGACCCTCATAAAATCAGAACCCACCCTCCCTGCCCTCCACTAAACCAAAAAGACAGCTCCCAAGGACTCAAGGGATGCCTTTTATGTTAGAGCAAGGAATCTGCTTATAATAAAACTTCCCGTTTTGGGTCAAATGCTTTGTATTCTAAGACGCTGGCATGTTCAAATTCCTCAGCCCATCACAGCAGACTCCCCGGGTAAGAGCCTCTTGTGTGGGCTTTAGAAAATGCTGAAAGGAAAACTGATGTGAAAAGAAATAAAGACGCAAATTATTCTTTAAGTGTTCTCCCTCTCAGCACATGCCCAGGAACTTTTTCTCAGAGGCTGATAAAGACATGGCCGTACAGCAAGTGCCCGTTCTTCCTCTCCACTGTCTACAGCAAGCTCTTTTGCTTGTGGGAAGACTTTATACTTCTCTTATGGAACATATTGGCTAGGTACCTCTGAGCAGAGTGGAAACTCACTGCTATGTGCTACACCTGGAAGCTCTGTGGCACCAAGGATGCCGCCACACCACCTCATGGAAGGGCTACATCCTGCTGTATCAGCCATCCACAACTCTGGAATCTGTTTTATGGGGCAGAAGGACACAGACCTGCTGCTGGCCCAGGGTTGTGAGCAGATAAGCATATGTGCAGACGACCCCAGCAAACGTCAAGAACAGCAGGGCCAATCCTGGATGTCGAGAGAGGAAATGCTCATGGTCTCCTGCCTTTTCTTCCCCTCCTAGGTGCAAATCGTCTTTCATAGGAACTTGGGTCTAACGCTTTCCTATCATTAGCTTTCAGAGCCTGGCTCAAGGCCATGGCTATTACCTGCTCTCCCAGGTACTCCACGTCCAGGGCCAGCTGTAGACGGATCTTGTCATCATCGCTCATGCCACTGCTGGGGCCAACAGGGTTGGTGGTGGTGGCTCTCCTGGCTTGTTTGAGCCGTTTCAGGCTCTCTTCCATCTTCTTCACAGAGTTTAGTACATCTGACACTGTCTCAAAGTACCTTGTGTAAAAACAGTAACAAAACATACTAGGGACACCAAGCTGGAACTGGCTTTGTAAGCAAAAGAGATTCTGAAGATGGAAACTCATATGTAACACCACCGAATTGTGGTAAATACTTCATGCTCTTAAGACTGTAAGGTAGGTTGGGCGAGATCTGGCTTTGGTAGGCTAAGGCTGAGATCCTAGCAGACAGCCTGAGAAGGTAGGTTCAGATCTCCATTAGGGTAGCGGCTTGGAGCTCAGCAGACCGCCAGAGAGTGCTGGGTACTGACCTCCCTCTGGCCTCCAACTACCAGAGGGCCTGACAACCCAGGGGACTGCCTGACAGCCCGGATCCTGGTGAGCTTCCCCTAATTGTGCCATACCACCCCTCTACCTGGGATTTTGTGAGGCTCCTCCCAAGCCCCAGGGCAGATCTGGTTTTGGTAGGCTAAGGCTGAGATCCTAGCAGACAGCCTGAGGGTAGGTTCAGACCTCCATCAGGGTGGGTTCAGACCTCCATCAGTGTAGCGGCTGGGATCTCAGCAGACCCCCAGAGAATGCCAAGTTCTATACCACCACCCCCCAGCCTCCCTCTGGCATAGAGTTGACAACACACGGGACTGCCTGAGAGAGCCTAGATCCTGCCTCCACGTGGTGAAGGAAGCCTGAGTGTACCTGACTGGAACCTGAATTGGGCTTCGGTGGGTACCCTGAATAACTGATCTGAAGCCATCAGTTCCCTCTAAACCTGAGAGAACCTGAAGCCTGTACCAACCAGCTTTACATAACCAATAAAGAAAGGATTTAGGCACCCAGATAATACAAACAGAAGCATAATTCAACTTAATTCTCATATCAGAATCATAAACAACAAAAGAAATT